ATAGATGATCGTAGCGTAGAGCCAACAGAAAACCTTGGGCTAACCGTTGGATATAAAGGTCCATATTTTCATGATGGTCAACGCAATATTGATATGGTGTTGGTATTTCAATGCAAGCAAGCGCAAAATGGTGTGAAGGATAGAAAAAGTCGAGATATAAGAAAGAGATTTATTAATAAATTAATCACGAATGGATTACAAATTGAAATTGAGACAGTACAACATTTAGTATGTGATATTTTCCCGTTTAACTTTATTTATACTGGATTGTTCAATCCTAGCTGTGCCTTAATAATTATTGATCCATGCAGTGTTATTGCAGGAGGAAACCTTGACAGTAATACATGGACATCTCTTTAACTTCTTAACTGTTAAATATCCCTACTAGTATAAGGGTAATTTCGTATTGCTACAATGTTGTTATATACTGGATAGCTCTATCATTTCTAAACAGTTTTCCCTGCCTTTGGTCCAGTAATGACCATTTCTTTTTAGTCCTAAACTGTTCTCCCTAGAAGTCCAGTAAGGATCACCCTTATTGATCCAGTATTATTACAGGAGGAAACCTGAACTAAACTAACTTTATTTACACTGGATAGCTCTATCAGTTCCAAACTGTTCTCCCTAGAGGTTCAGTAGAGGTTCAGTAAGGATCATCTCTTATTGATCCAGTGTTACTACAGGAGGAAACCTAAACTAAACTAACTTTATTGATACTGGATAGTTCTATCAGTCTTAAACTGTTCGGCTCTCTAGAGATTCAGTAAAAATCATCTCTAGCTTATTGATCCAGTATTATCACAGGAGGAAACCGCAACCAAACTAACGTTATCTATATGACTATATCAGTTCTAAACTGTTCTCTCGAGAGGTCCAATAAGTGTCATCCTCTATTGATCGAGTGTTATTATTGGAGAAAACCTTTAATAAACTAACTTTATTTTTACTGGTCCAGTAATGACTAATGGCCATCTCTTATTAGTCCGGTATACGTGTTTGGAGGAAACCTAAACTAAACAAACAAGTGAAACAACTTTCGTTGCATGGAAACAAACAATTGGTCATCTCGTTCTGATGGCTAAATTTATTTATACTGGATATTTCTATCAGTTCTGAACTGTTTTCCTTAGAGGTCCAGTAAGGGTCATCTCTTAATATTGATCCATGCCAGTGTTACTATACGAGAAAATCTAAGCTAACTAATTTATTATACTGGATAGTTCTATCAGTTCTGAACTGTTCTCCCTATAGAGGTCCAGTAAGGATATCTCTTATTGCTCCAGTGTTACAGTTCTCCACGGAGGTCCAGTATGGATCATCTCGTACTGATACCTAAAGTTTATTTATACTGGATAGTTCTATCAGTTCTGAACTGTTCTCCCTAGATGTCCAGTAAAGATCATCACTTATTGGTGATATTTAGTCACTTTAGTGGGATGACTAAACGAATCAATACGTTTTTCTATTTTCAACCAGGACACAGACATATACTTCATCAAACTACATGCGCCGTTAGTCACGCTACAAACGAAAGCTGAGGACATGAAACTCAAAGTGCCATTCTCACTTCTTTCCAAAAATCCTGAAATGGACGTCGCTATTGCGTCTCTTCCCTTCACCTTACGTGGCGAGGATTTAGCCGGCCATAATCATCGTTATTTTTTACTTGCACCTTTCGTCAAACGACATGCTGAAAGATTTTTGGCAAAAGGCGAGTGTTTTTCCACGTTGGATCGCATAGCAGTGATGGAAAGGATTTTGAACGAGACGCGTTTCTCCGAAAAGGAATTTGGTGTTAAAAGTTTGATAAATCAACAAGTGTTTCAGGCTGTTTATCCACCACATGAATCTGGGAAGGACGTGTCAGTAAAACACAAGAAAGGTACACACGTAACAACGCCAACAACTTGTAACAAACCTACACACGAAAAAACGCACAAGTTGTTACAGATCTGCAAACAAGTTGCTGAAATCTGTTCACAAGCTGTCGACAAGTTGTCTTCGCACTGCTTGTTCCTAGTTGTTGTAACGAGTTTGGGACAAGCTGTTAACAACTTGTAACAAGCTTGATGTCACAAGGTTGACGACATAAGGATGTAACAATATTGTTATATCATAAATGTATTGGACTTGTTGGAACAACCTTGCAACAAGTCTGATCAGTAATATCAACAAGGTTGTTGCAAGATGTTAACAGCTTGTTGCAAACTTGGGACAAGCAGTGCGAACACAACTTGTTGACGGCTTGTTGGCAGACTTGCTACAAGATGTGAGATTTTTACGTGCGTACAGCAGACTTGTGTCAATGCTGTTTCAACAACTTGTCATCAGGATGTGTTCGCACTGCTTGCTTCCAATTGTTGACACGTTGTTAACGGCGTGTTGCTGACAACTTGCTGCAATTAAGGATGTTGACTCAACAGATTTTGCAACAACATGTTATCGCCCGGCAATGCAACGACTTATTAACAAGTTTTGAGTGACAATACTGTGGCGACTTGACAAACTAGCAACCGATTCTGTTACATGCAGCTTCTTAACAAGCTTGCTACAAGACTGTTGAACACATCTTGTTATTAATTTAAAAGATGTGAGGTTTTTACGTGTGTAGTCACTAACCGTAACCGTTAAATTTTAGGTCGACAAAAACTGGCCAAAGATTGGGCCTCGTTTGGAAGTGTGCACAAGAAACAGCCAATCAATGCGGTGAAGTCTTATTTGGGCACATCTATTGCGTTTTACTTTATTTGGTTGGGATTCTGTGCTTGGTATCTTTGGCCTTTGGCTTCCGTTAGTGTGTTAGTCCTCGTATACGGTGGCCTAACCTTAGCCAGCTATCCTCCAGTGGAGGAAATCTGCAGTAAAAACAACATAACCCAATACCTAATGTGTCCTCAATGCGACAGATGCGATCTTTGGTACTTGAAGCAAGTTTGCGTTCCAACAAAGATCGCTCATGTATTCAACAATGATATGGCGATAATTCTAGCAGTATTAATTTCAATATGGTCGTTGTTTTTGATAAAGTTTTGGAACAGGCATCACTCGAAATTGGTATTTCAGTGGCAAACCTACGAAATCGAAAAAAACGACGAAGCATCGCGTCCCGAATTTGTTGCAAAAGTAAAGACTGTTCGCAAGAATATTGCAACTGGCCAGTTGGAACAGCATATACCATTTGTCAATCAATGTTGTCGATATTCGCTTGCACTAGTAACTGTTATTTTTATGATGTGCATAATACTAGCTGGACTATTGGGTGTGGTCATATACCGTGGTGTAGTGTATACGGTAGTTATTACCCGCGCTGATAACCAAGCTAGGGTAATAACAGATATTACAGCCGGGATAATAACATTAGTATGTATTAACATGCTAAGTTGGGTGTACGTGCCAATCGCGAAAAAGTTGACTAATTTTGAAAATCCTCGTACGCAATCACAATGGGAGAACAGTTTTACATATAAGATGTTTGCTTTTCAGTTTGTGAATTGGTACTCCTCGTTGTTTTATATCGCCTTCTTTAAGACGGAACATTTCACAGGACGACCTGGGGGTTATGTGAGGTATACAAGATCAGGAAATCGGCTAGAGGGCTGCCCTATTCAAGGTTGTTCCATGGAATTGTGTATACAGCTAGGAGTGATTATGATTGGTCAAATGTTGCTTCAGAATGTCAGCGAGATATCAAAACCGTAAGTATCTATACATATCGTTATAAAATAATGTGACTTTAGTATCTTTTTTAGTTGACAATTTGCTTTGGTAAGTTTGTGTTTGGTAACAGGATAGAACCCACAATAAAAGAGCCACTATAGTTTTTGTTCTGTTAGGCTGCCGAACTGGTTGAGGAGATGACTCTTACTGGACCTCTAGGGAGAACAATTTAGAACTGATAAAGCTATCCAGTATGAATAAAGTTAGTTTAGTTTAGTTTTCCTCCTGTACTAAGTAACACTGGATCAACAAGAGATTGCTCTTATACTGGACCTCTAGGAAGAATAGTTTAGAACTGTTTAGAACTATCCACTGATAAATAAATAAATAAATAAATAAATAAATAAATAAATAAATAAATAAATAAATAAATAAATAAATAAAGGTAGTTTAGTTTATGTTTCTTCCTCTAGTAATACTGGATCAATAAAAGATGACTCTTACTAGACCTATAGGGAGAACAATTTAGAACTGATATATTTACTTTTTATCATTTAGTTATCTGGTAAAATGGTTAGCTATTCGCAAATGTAATCCTCTGTACAAGAGCCTGTTACCATGGCAGCAAGAATATTTTCTAACGCCAGCAGATGATACATTGTATTGGGAATACATGGAAATAGGTAACATCTATTTATTAGCTTGCATTTATTGCCTCGACGTTCATATATGAACGATTTTGATTGCGGTCTAAGCAAGGTACAATGCAATGCACGCGACTTCTTGTTAAAAAATAATTGTACATATAGAGTCACGGAGAACAGGATTGAATTGTTCTGTGAACTAAGTACTAGATCGCAATATCTTTCTTAACCCGTTTAAGGATCCAAATAGCCTAATTTCACAATAAGCCAATTTATATGGGAAAATCTAAGTTCCTATATACGCTGTTTTTACTGTAAGTGTCAACATATCTGATACTGTTCGAAGGCCCACTTCCACTTAAGAAAAATTTCCACGGACAAAAAATTTCCGAAATATCATTGTTAAAAATTTTCAATTTCAAAATTTTTTTCCGACGGAAAATTTGTGTCGGCCAATTACATTTTACAAAATTTTCTTTCTGCGGAAAATTTTCTTGAGTGGAAATGGGCCTTTATAATCTATTTTCACTGTTTGTCTGTTTGTTTAGTTCTACAGCTGGGTTTCGTGATGATGTTTTCAGCTGCATTCCCCCTCGCACCTTTGATCGCCTTCATAAACGCCATGCTAGAAATCCGGCTTGATGCTATGAAATATATACATTTCCAAAGACGGGCCCTTCCCAAAATGGCGGCGGCCAGGGGGGCGTGGCAAGAAATTTTGGAGCAGCTTGCTGAATGGTCGGTCCTTATCAATGGCCTGGTTATAGCAATGACTACAGATTTCATACCTAAGATGGTATATCGCTTCAGTTACAGTGATGATGGGAGCCTCAATGGTTACGTCAATAATAGCCTTTCGTTTAGTAATATATCTCGGTTTTCTGAGGTTGAGGAGTCTGCACTGAAATATCACAAAAATCTACCTATATATTGCAGGTATGTGTGTTATTTAGTTATATTTTGAAAGCTTTGGGTCAATCCGGAAACATTGTTTCCTATAGCCATCAGCCATGTTCCCCAAGGGTGGACAAACCAGAAAACATTGTTTCCTAGCCATGTTTCCTGAAGGTGGGCAAACCAAGAAATATTGTTTCCTATAGCCATGTTTCCGGAAGGTGGACAAACAAGAAAACATTGTTTCCTAGCCATGTTCCTGAAGATGGGAAAATCAGGAAAAATTATTTCCTAGCCATGTTTCCTGAAGGTGGACAAACCAGGAAACATTGTTTCCTATAGGCATGTTTCCTGAAGGTGGGCAAACTAGGAAACATATTGTTTCCTAGCCATGTTTTCCGAAGGTGGACAAACCAGGAAATATCGTTTCCTATATATAGGCATGTTTCCTGAAGGTGGACAAACCAGTAAACATATATTGTTTCCTGGAAGCATCGTTCATCCTACAACCTTGCAGCAACTTGAATTTTATTTCCATGCTACAGATACCATGGTTACCACGAAATGAATGGTGATTATTCCACACAATACTGGCATGTTATGGCTATACGCATCATATTTGTGCTATCATTCCATTACGTCATCAGTACATTACGTACGATACTGGATTGGATGGTCGCTGATGAACCATGGAACGTTAAAGTTAGGAGAAAGAAGACAATTTATTTCATTAAAAGACTATTTAAGGATAAAAACGAACATCGTTCTGGAGTTAAAGCTGGATAGTGGACTCGGACTGAAATGCAACGACGGGATATGCTTAAACAATGTAATTTAATACTCACATGTGTCGTGAAAAATTATAGTGAAATCGTAAATATTTCAATAAGGATCGGTAAAAATCAGAATTATAAAAATACCGGTTCATTTTTCGTTTTAAATAGTTAATTTGTCAGGTCGTTTGATTGTTAACTCATAGTCTATCAAGATGATTTGGTTTGGAAACTGAACAGAAGTCATTGTATTATGTTTTTGTCTGAGTTTATGTTAATTTGTGCACGGTCACGGTGATTCAGCTCATTGTATTTTCGTATAATGAAGTACTCGTCCAACAGAGATAGCTGAGATGAAACGTGCAACCACGATGAATAATATTTAATGAAGTTGAAACAAAGGATTTGTGCATGGTGAGGTCACAGTTCAACACCAAACAAAGGTCTTCTATTTTGTAGCTTTGAAGTTTGCCTGGCTTCCAGACTATGGCTGACTTGACTATAATTACGGACATTGGTAAATTTTGTCACAGAAAGCTCATATTAGGGACCGTTTATTATTTTACCTTAGGATGCAGGGAATGAGAGACTCTTATATTTATAAAAAATCTCATAGGACGTCTCCCCTTTACGATGCTCTAAATAATGAAGACCCCTAAATATTTAAAAGTATATGTCCCTCCCCTCTCAGAAATACATACATGATGCGATTCTAATCTTCATTGATGTGAATGTCTGAGTTTTCCAGTATACACAATAAGAGAGAGAACGTCTGTTTGCATTGAATTTTACACATAAATTTATGTTTGCAAACAGGTGCCGCAACTTTTTTTAACAACCCCACCCACAAAACTCCAACAAAAGCAAAGACACCTATAGGACAAGGTGAACATTGTACGACCCTCTCCATACTTCTCACCCCAACCAAGGGTAAAAATAATAAGCGATCCTGTGGGTTGGTAGTTTATATACTGCACTTGTCCAATTATTTACGCACTTAATGTCGGCTCTCATAGACAATAGCCGAGAGTTGCGATGTTTCGCCGAGGGAATCATTGAAATTCGAGGGAATCATTGAAATTCGAGGGAAAGCTAACTTATTTCTCGATGATACAGACATTAAGTGTTTTGTTATACAGCAACGAAGGAAAAATAAATAATAATCACATGCACAACAACAGCCTGTGAATTTTATTGCATACTTGTTCCCAATGGCCTTGTTTCCATGTGGCTATATCAGTTCCTCATGTTTCCTGCACAATAGGGTTAAGACCAGGTTTGTGATTGGGCTCAAGATCAAAGAGAAATATATTCGAAACATGCGGATATTTTATTTATTTATTTATATTGAGTACTATGGTTACAAATGACTGGAATTTCCACACAGAGATAGCCTAGTTCTCCAATAACGGGTTTCCAAAAAAGAACAACTTATGGTATATCTAATTATTTTAAAATTAAAGCAAACATAATAATTAAACACAAATACAAGAAGACAAAGCAAACGTATTGACGAACAAAAACTAAACTTAGCAACATGTTCGAGTTGATAAGTTATAGTGGGCGAGTGATGTGACATTTAATACAAACCATAGTTAATGGAGGAGATGGTTTGGAAACTCATTAGCATTACAATAAACCTCACTATCTATGTTTTTGTTCAGGTTTATGCAAAAATGTGGTCTTTCATCGTCACGTGCGTATTGTATTTTTGCTCAACCAACCAATAGCAACGGTTTTGCCCAATTGCCCATCCATGACTTTAACAATAGGACATTTTGAACATTCCTATTGGTTGACTTGAGAAAAATACAATACGCACGTGACGATGAAAGACCACATTTTTGCAAACTGCCTGAACAACATAGATAATGAGGTTTATTGTGATTTTATTGTAATGCTAACGAGTTTCCAAACCATCTCCTCTATTAACTATGTACAAACTGACTTATATGTTCTTGGATCTTCAGGATCATAGATTTGTTGGGTTAATTCTACGTAATATATCATTAGATTACAATTAAATGCAGTTAGAGATGTGGTGGTATTTCTTATGAAGCCCGGAAGCGTGTTCCACACATTAGAAGCTCTGATGTAAAAGCTGTTTTAAAAAGAAATAACCTTCATGTGTGCCTGCCTTGCTAAAACAGGCAAACATAAAAACGAGGTCGTTGGGGCGAAAGTGCAATAAAGTCTATAATATTTATATGTCTCGAATGAAAACTCTTCAATTATAATTGTAAATGATGTAAGCAATAATCTTTTTGTAAACTGGAAAAACATTAATGAACTTTCAAATTTGTGTACGTTAATAAATTTCAAGGAAATTTTATACAAACTATAATACAGGAGGGAAAGAGCGAATACCCTGGGAACGAGGTTGACTAGCTATAATCACAGAATAAAGATCAGTAACAGAAGGGCCACTCAGCGGTGCAACATGTCCTCGGTTTTTTATGCAAAAATATGCAGTTTACTGGCCAGAAGGCGGAGCAGCCAGCCAGTACAGCGTGTTTATTGGCCAGAAAATGTCATTGACTGGCTAGGAAAATGGCGGCCAACTTGCGTAATGCGACATGCGCGAGGACAGAAACTTCAAAGCTTCCGACGTAAGTGGCCCTTCTATATAGATCTTTATTCTATGCTATAATATAGCAGGGCACGTACGTTTTTGATATCACAGAGAATCCATTCATGTATGCCTGACAAATTACCATATTACACACGTTTTCAAAATCATGTATATATAGTGTTATACAGTATGTCACACGGTCACGAAGTTCAAATTGTTTCCAACTTTGAGTTTTGCGGTTCAGTATCTTCATGTGTACCTGCCATGCTAAAACAGGCAAACGTGGAAACGAGGTCATTTGGGCAAAAGTGCAATAAACATGCAGCAAAGTCTGTCAATGGTGGTCGATTCTAGATGCTTAATTCTGAAAGCACTACAAACTGTTTATGTTAATTCCAAACGTATAGGCGATGTCAGCTGTCAATGTTAGCTGTGGCAAGACAACTAAGGGTCACTTCAGTCAATAACATGCAAGACGTCAGATGAAATTGTTGAGCCTCTTGGACTGTCGCAAAATTTTAATATATCATCCATAGCCTTTTGGTTTATGACGCTCAAACGTTGAAGATTGCAAGTGAAGATTCATCGCAAACTCGGCAACTGTTTCAACGGTCGACATTTCGTTTTTGGAGCCTTTCGGAGTTGGAGTTTGTGGTAAGGGAAGGAACTTTATGTGGAATTTATTCATTTGTTTTCTAATTTGTCCACTGAAGCTCGTTTTATATGATATGTAACGTTAATTCATGCTTTTGTTGGTTTTATTTTATAAACAAAATAAAGCCTGTTTTTGACGTCGAATTTCCATTGAATTTCGTTGAATTTAGTAGCGTAGCTGATTTTTCTATTCCATGCAGAGGGATGGGCGTTTTAAATGGTTTTATTCGAGGCAGCACACTAAGCGTGACGTCGCCAAAGTATTTGACGAGCTTTGTCGCACAATTGACAGAAATTTCGTCGAAATATCAAAGGAATTATAACGATCAACAGAAATTGGAGGTCTAAAACAAATTTGCAATAAAATCAAAATGTCATTCTCGTCTTATTTTATATATACCGTTTTAAGATGCTAATCTTTGGAATGTGTTTGTTTTATATACCTTTTTTAAATTGTCGGCTGCATGGTATTGGTTTTTAAGCAATAATGCCGTTTATAAAATAATTGTCCGATCCGTTTATACATCAGTGCAGTACTGATGAACGTCTTTCCCCTTCGGTTTCGAAAATGAAAGATGTCGACGAACAACTTGCACATAATACAGTTAAATTTCGCTTTGCGAATACCCAGCTATACATATAGTAAAGGATAGTTAATAAATCCCAGGCCGAAACTACCAATCATGAAATGCATTGAAGTAACTCTTGGATACCTTCGACGTGAAGAGAATTCTGCATGTTTTCAACAAAAAGGGTAATGTCGGCATGAATTTCTTTGATAGTGATATCTTTCAAAAAGAACATTCACATTTATTTACGTAAAACAAGATTTTTTTAAAACTGCAGGGCAGCAATCATGCACCCAAAACAACAGGAGAGTCATTTTATGGTGAATCATTTTATGTTAGAAAAATTTCTGACGTTAAAGACATGCATGTCGTGTCTACATGCAGCTTTTACCTAGTCATTTAATCAATATGCTACTTCTAGACTCATCTAGAGTGAGTAGACCATGTCGGCAAACATGAAGTAGTGTATAAGTCACGCGTATAACATCTGCTCTCTACTAAACTACTGTAACTAATCGAAAGACGACACCAAACAGGCAGAAAGTTAGAAGGTTATCATTTTCGACTATATATATATTGACTATTGTCTTTGTATACATTTGCTTGGCAATAGTTCATGCAATGGTCTGATTATATATATATTGACTATTGTCTTTGTATACATTTGCTTGGCAATAGTTCATGCAATGGTCTGATTACCGTTTTCTCCAATATTAAATAAAATACGTAACGCTAGCTAAATAGCTATTATACATGTTTATTCTAGATGACTTAGTTCTATAAAAACACTACAAAATGTTTATGTTAATCGACAAGGCAACTATAAGGGTCACTTTAGTTTAGTCAACAACACGCTAGACGTCAAAAGAAATTGTTCATCCGCTTGGATTGTCGCAAAATTTACTGAATATCATCCAGCCATAGTCTTTTGGTTTTTGACGCTGAAGCGCGAATATACGGGGAGTGAAGATTTATCGCAACAAGTCGGTTGACAATTTGTTTTTGAAGCTTTCAGTTTGTGTCTGTGGCCAGGGAAGGTATTTTATGTGAAATTTATTGGCCGAATTTATTAATTTTTTCTAAATTTTGTTCACTAATGCTCATTTCATTATGTAACTGTAATCAATAATCTCATGCTTTTATGGCAAATTTATCCTATCATGCAAAGTAATTTGTAACATGCGAATCTGGTCTTGATTTGACTCATGTCTTGGCGGCTGTTATTTTTATCAGACTATAAAATATCGTCTGAATAAACTTTATACTGTTACTGGAATCAAACCAAGCTAATTGAACTATATCGAGCAAGTTTTTGCCTCACCAAGGTAGCTCTACGTACACTATATTATGCACTTGTCTATCCCTATTTACAATATATTTACAATATTGTGTAACCAGTGTGGGGTTCAACATACCCTTACAAATCAAGTCGTCTCTTATTGCTCCAAAAAGGGTGATTAGAATTATCGATAAGGTAGAATTTGATGCCCACATGCACTGACCCATTATTTAAAGATAATCAAATATTTAAGTTCAAAGATATTTACTTTTACAACCTGGGGAAATTCATGTTTTTATACATAAATAATAGGCTTCCTAGAAACTTCGACAACCTGTGTACATGTTACGAATAAAACAGGTGCATGGCTATGGCTTGCGGAGAGCTGAATTGTTATATATGTAGTATTATGTACCATTGCATGTGTATAGAACTAAGTTACGTCAATTCTCTGTGTCCTATCAAGGTTCAAGTTTTTTTGACGATATTCGTAATGCACCAACTCGTGAACAATTCCAATTCAAATTATAGGAAACTTCTTATTCTCTTGACTACAACATGTTTTTAATACTTTGGTTTTAATACTTTAAAACCCAGATATGCCAAATTTAGTTAAGTCTATCTGACTACTATAGCACAGCTGTGAATAAATTATTGTAATACTTTTATAAATGAGGAAGCCCATAACTCAATAGGCCTTATGGTTTCTACTTGGACCTCCTCGTACATGTATTTTCATTATGTTTGTCTTGTAAATAATTCCTTTTTTGTGGCAATTTAATAAATTGAATTGAATTGAACTTTGAAATGACATGTTGGATGTTTAAGGCCCTGTCACACTATTGCGTATCGTACTAGCGTATGCCAGCGTATAAAAAATATCACTCATACGCCGGTATATACGCTGACATCATAGATATCTTATATATATAGATAGTGCATCTAATTATTCTACAATTCAAAAATTGAAGCCGTGATTGCAGACTCAGGATATTCCCATGAAATGAGAAGGCTCGTATGTTTTCTATTTCTTAAACAGGGAATTTAAACATTAAGTTAAACCTATTCCAAATACATTTTCAAACGATTCAAATGATGAAAGTTATTGGGTTTTTTAAAGCGTTTATTAGCGAGTGGGAAACTCCAACATGGCCGCCTTCTATTCAAACGGGGGTAACCGCTGGAATATTCTTGGCTTCAATTTTACTTAGAGAGATGCGCTATCTATAGTGTATATAAGATATCTATGGCTGACATACGCTAGGGGCACGTTAGGCATAGGTTATACGGCCGTTTCAAGCACGGTCGCATACGGTGGCATACGCTGGCACACTGTTAATTTTAGGGTGTTAAAATAACACCAAAAAGTGGTGTTAAAAAATTAGGTAAAAAATGACACTACTTTTTGGTGCTATTTTAACACCACTAAAAAAGTGTTAAAATAACACTAGATATGGTGTTAAAACAACACCCATTTTTAGTGTTAAATTAGCACCAGTTTTGGGGGTTAATTTAACACCTGTTTATAGTGTTAAACTAACACCACTTTTAAGTGCTAAAGTGACACCAGTTTTAAGAGTTGTTTTAACACCTATAGTGTGGCGTTAAAATAACACCTGATTTGGCAGTGCCAAAGCAACACTTCTTCCTATCTGGTGCTAAAATAACACCAGATTTAAGGTGTTGATTTAACACTTTCAACCAGGCACATTAAGACACACACAAAAGAGAAATATAGGTTCAAAATTGGTTATTATTATAAATTACTCGCTGACAAGAAATACCTTTAACATGCATGAATTTATATGAACTAAGTATTTATCACGATTAATTTCGGAGTCCAAGCTCACTTAAAAGTTGTTGTACAGAAATTTTGTTCTCGGCATCAGCAGGGCGGTTTAAGGTTCTAGATTCTAGAAATGCATAAACACTCGAAACACCTGGAGTGTATTCCATATTTAGAACATGGAATGTGGCAATAAGTATGTGGAATATTTTTACCAGCAAAACGCAACTAAATTTGCCCCACGGCAGCAATGTACAATGGGTCCAAGGATGCAATGTCACCTGATGCCAAGATTCAAGGATAGGTTGATTTCCTCACTTCTTCATCAATGGCCATTGTCCGTCATCCTAAAAGTATTCATTTTCACATTAGTCTATACAGTATATATATTTAGTAATTTTACATGTTGTCAAGTTCTAATGCTTGAACAAGAGTTAAATGTTGTATTCTGATTGGCTTTACGCTACTCGTTATCTAAATGTCACTGAGATATCTAGCTAGAGCGCAAACCATCTCTTTGTTGAGACAAATAAGCATTGATCACATGCAATGATAGGATAAGAGATGTGCCATCTCACCTTAACACTACATGTAGCAATTAATATTTTTCAAAAGGAGTACAGTATCTAACAGGGAAGCCATCGAGCAAGTGTCACCTAGCTGAACTATATAATTAGTCACTGGTACAGACTGGCCCGTACAGTCCAATTGCATTTTGCCATTGAAAAATCATATCGATACATTGCCATTTTAAGAAAGAAAAATTACCCCCATTATAGTGTTAACTGTGTCAAATGGGTCATTTGTCGTGGATGGATAAGAGATGTGCTATCTCACCTTAACACTACATGTGGCAATTATTCTACTTTAAAATGAGAATCTGTTGCAATAAGAACTTAATTAGGTTTAGTGTATCTTCTGACATGGTTGAGAAATTTGACATTATATCATAATCAATATTTTCACTCTTAAATATTAATACTCAGGACTCTCCCATTGATAGCCCAATGATAGGTAAAATTATCTCTGTCATTATACCGTAAACCCTCCGACTATAAGCCCCCCGACTATAAGCTCCCCCCCCCCGAATATAAGCCCCCCGGAAGATAAGCCCACCACATATACTAACGCTCAATTCATTCCAAATATAAGCCCTCCCGAACATAAGCCCACCCAAATATAAGCCCCCCAAATATAAGTCCCCCGAATATAAGCCCAGTAGCCCACTACGTTATTCAACATTTTCATTGTCTTTTAATATAGCAGAGAACGGTATTTAAAAACATTGTCATTGTCTTTATAGCCGACTACATGTTACGTTAATCAAAGCACGTTATTAATGGATGTTTATTTTCCTGTTTATGACTGACTTGTTTTAGTCTGATTTGTTTATTACTAACACAAAAGATCATCCATGTATTAGCCCCCCGTATATAACCCCCCCACCCCCTCCCCTTGTATAAGCCCATCAAAAATCGCTTACGAAAGTTATAAGCCCAGGGCTTATAGTCGGAGGTTTACGGTATAAGATCCCCTTGGCAAATTAGATAAACATTGTCTGGCGTTAGCCAGAATAAAACAATAAAATAAGGGAACATTGCAGCTTAATGGTTAAAATCAAATATAAAATTCGAGTTGGCAAAAATATTCATGAAACACCAGCTCAGGTCCAGCTGTGTAGTGTATACTGTATCTCATCTCACAGACAGTATTAATAAAATAAATTCCATCGTTCAGTAATCAGTATAAAACATTACCGTTTCGGTTTGCCATTGAAATTTAATGAATAAAGTATTGTTGGTCTGTGTTGTTGTGCGTAATTTGAATAGAATGCACAAAATCTTGCATTCCTATATGAATATGATATAGTTGAGGTTGGGCATTTAACAGCCATTTCCCGATTTTCCTCCTCAGTCCTCAAGTTCTAAAATACTTGTCTTTATAATTGAAATGAAAGCAGTAAACGCAAGATAAATCAGACAAAACTACAGTACTTTTAAATCAAAACGCGCGCAAGTTTTCTTAACTGAGACTGCAATGGCAATGGGCTATTCCAATTATTACCCGCACCCCCTCTGTTGAGGAACCTTGGAATTTCCAGGGGAGGGGGTGCATTAACCGTGGAATTTCCAGGGGAGAGGGTGCATTAACCTTGGAATTTCCAGGGGAGAGGTGCATTAACTTTAAATTTCCAGGGGAGGGGGTACATTAACCTTGGAATTTCCAGGGGAGGGGGTGGATTAACCCTGGAATTTCCAGGGAAGGGGGCATTCAGGATCTGGAATTCCAAGGGGAGGAGTAATTCTCATATGGAATTTCCAGAGGGAGGGGTAAATTTCATGGGATGGAAATTCCATGGGGGGACATATGTTAGAGGGACATTTTCGGGAGTAAATGTCCCATGATGGAAATTCGGTAGGGAAAGGTAATTTATACATGGCAATTCCATGGACAGGGCCAAATTTTAAATGGAAATTCCATGGGGAAGGCCTAATTTAAAATGGAAATTCCATGGGCAAGCTAAGGGTAATTTTTACAAGGAAATTCCATGGGAAGGGGTAAATGTTACATGAAAATTGGCGGAAATTCCAGGGGAGTACCGACATGAGAAAGGGGTTCCTCAACAGGGGGGTGCGGATAATAATTGGAATAGCCCAATGACAATAGCCTCAGCATAATGGCGGTCGTAAATATGTATAAATACGACAGTCGCAGACAACAATCATTATAATTCTCGCATTATTATAATAACTCACCTTATTCCTTTCGACGTTTATCACATCTTTGAAGTTACAGGCGAACTAATTCTAAAGCATTGACGCTGTGAACCACACGTTTGAATTGCATTGGCGGCCAGACCTTTGTCATTCTAATACAAACAGCAACCTTGCTCGCTTCTTCCTCACACTGTTTTAAAGCCATCTTTATGCTTGAAATATGAATATACTAAAGCCATTTTAATCAGTTTGTATCGCTTCCATCGCACTGACATTTAGAAGCAATCCTAATAGAACCCTCGCACCACAATAGCAGATATCTTCCCATACAAACGACCACAAACTATAATGCCAGTATTAATGTGAGAAGAAGGTATTAGATTTCACGGCGGCGCTATCGTCATGCGATCATGCGATCCGATCATGCGGCGCGCGAATATTCAGATATTTCGGCTTCATTGTGTTTATACTGCTGCTGCAAATTGTAGCGTGTTATTATAATTTTGAAGTCCAATTTTGCCAGTTTCCAATCTGTATGATGAAATGCATAAACATACATGACACATATGACATGGGAACTATTTCTGTTAATTATTATTATGTCTAGTTATTAACTTCTGAATTCAAATGTTTCATTTGTGGAATGGTTTATAATTTGCCGGTAAATTAATATGCGGCTGTTTCATGCTACCAGTAAATAATATTCAGATAAATATTTGCCAATTAATTTGGCGATATACCTGTAATCGGCCAGCCCTAGCCTGTGACGGTAGACCAGGCTCAAAACGTGTGTTTATAGACCGTGTTATACTGTAAAAGTGTTTTAGTTTAAAGGGGAAGTCAAGTCCGTTCTGCGCATCGGTTCTGCGCATAACAATAGAGGGCCCTCTGAGGTAAACATTGCCCAAATTTTGAATGTTTCGAATTTTTCTGAACACAAACTCTATTTCATATTCATGTAGAAGCATAACGAACCAAAATGGTGTTAGATATTCAGACAGTACATCATATTTTAAAAAATACAGCAGTTCAAAATGTAAACAAACCGTTTGTTTACATTACGGACTTGACTTCCCCTTTAAGAATATATGTTATTCTAACTGCACAAACAGTTTTAACACCACCAAAAAGGTGCTATTTTAACACCCATGCTCTGTGCTAATTTAACACCACCAAAAAGGTGCTATTTTAACACTCGTGCTGCGTGCTAATTTAACACCACCAAAAAGGTGTTATTTTAACACCCATGTTCTCACTCCACAAACAGTGCTAATTTAACACTGGGGAATACAAATTCTTGACACCACTTATGGTGTTATTTTAACACCAAGAATTTAGCACCAGAAACCGGTGTTATTTTAACACCATCTGGCCTTAAGTGGGTGTTATGTTAATACCTCTAAAGTGGTGTTAAACAGTTTGAGTGTTAAATTAACACTTTGCAAAATATTTTTATTTATGTCGTGTTAAATTAGCACCGAAAAAGGGTGCTAAAATAACACCTTTGTTTAACACCACCATGCAGTTGGTGTTAATCTAACACCACCCAAGGTGTTATTTTAACACCCTGAAATTAACAGTGTTGGTTATGTTAATGATATATCCTTAAACCCTCGTCATTGGTTCCAATTTGCGGACGATGCTGCAATTATATCTGCACATAACGAAGACAATCAACTGCCGTGTAATACATTTAGTAAATGGTCCTCTTGGGCAGATTTATATATCCGAGTAAATAAATGCCACACTTTTGAGATCAAAAAGCTTGGGACAAAAGCAGTCCAGTATAAACCTATTATAAAAATCTCTGGTCAACTGGTTCCCCCAATCGAGGACGGTGAAAGTTTTATGTATTTAGGTAAACAATTCAATTTTGAAATGGATTGTACTGAAACCAAAATTGAGATCTTTGATGAAATCCAATACTTATACTTAAAGAAAATTGATCTCATCCCAATTAATCCTTTTTCCAAGATTCGTGTGGTTCAAAGTTATGTGTACTCAAAGTTCTTCTGGCGTTTTTCAATCTACCCGCCTACTACAAGTTGGATACATTCTAATCTGGACTCTATAGTTCCAAATATATCCGGAAACAGCTCCAGATCCCAATCAGCGGTAACATTAGCCATCTAAAACTTCCTAAATTACAACTGGGAATTGATTTCTGTTCCCCCTCTTCTTATATATATATATATATATATATATATATATATATATAT